GGGCGTCGCGGCGGGCGCGCGTCGTGGATGTTCGCCGGTGTGAGGGGTGGATGACGTAGTGACGTCGTACGCGCGGTCACCGCGGGGGGGGTGCGCGTGACGTCGACGCGTGAGACGATGACTGACGAGTGACGCGCGCGTTTTTTTGCCTCGCGCAGCGTCTCCCCGAAGGCTCGCGGTAACTTCCAAGTCGTCGCCTCCGTGACGAAGAAGCCGGATCTCTCCGACCCGGTGCTTCGCGCGAAGCTCGCCAAGGGTATGGGCCACAACTATTACGGTGAACCGGCGTGGCCGAACGACTTGCTTTACATTTTCCCGGTCGTTATCCTCGGAACCATCGCGTGCTGCGTCGGCCTCGCCGTCATGGAACCGACCCAGCTCGGCGAGCCGGCGGACCCGTTCGCCACGCCGCTTGAGATCCTTCCGGAGTGGTACTTCTTCCCGACCTTCAACGCGCTCCGCGTTATCCCGAACAAGCTCCTCGGCGTCCTCTCCATGGCCGCCGTCCCGGCTGGCTTGATCACCGTCCCGTTCCTCGAGTCGATCAACAAGTTCCAAAACCCGTTCCGCCGCCCGGTGGCCACCACTGTCTTCATGGTCGGCACCTTCTACGCCATTTGGATGGGAATTGGGGCGACGATGCCGATCGACAAGGCGATCTCCCTCGGCGTCTTTTAAACGGCGCCAGTGTCTTTCAGTTGGCGCACGTACTTTCGTTTGAGGTTCGCGCGGCGTATGCGGGCGTTTAATTTTTTAGCAAAACCAAAGCTGCGATAGCGGGATGTTTGAAACAGTGACTTTTAATCTTGAATCAAGCGTTTTTATCAACCTCGAGCGCTCGACTCGCTTTACTCGGCGCAGTCGCGTCGTCTCGTCTCCGAGACGCTTCACTTTGCGATGGACGACGACCGGAACGATGACTCGGGAGCGACGATACGTAATCCATACGGTACCGATGAATCACTCGTGACGCTTGAACGCCGCGCGCGCGCGTACGACGAGGCGCTCACGAGGAGTCGTCCCGCGTGCGCGTTTGGAACTCTCAGGGTCATGTCTTGGAACCTTCAACTTTTAGCGGGGCCATTTTCCGGTCAGGGCGGATTCAGGGCCGATTTGATCAAACGAGCGCGTAAGATAGTTCAAAACATCATCGTCGTCGCCGAGACGGTGGACGTGGTGTGCTTACAAGAGGTTTGGGACGACGCGAGTCGCACCGTGCTGCGTTCGGGATTGGCGACGACGTTTCCGTACATTTTTTCTCCCGCCGCCAAGTGTGGTCTCATGGTGTGCTCAAAGGCGAGTCACGTTTGCAATCATTTTGTCAAGTTCACGCACAGGGGGGGGATCGAGGCGAGGGCGTTTGAGAAGGGAGTAAGCACGACGTACCTGCGCCTCGCTCAAAACGACGCCTGCGTCAGAGTCGCCATCATTTTGAACACACATCTGCAGTCAGACTATTGGTGCAGTGGGCGTGTGGCCCGATTTTCACAGCTCGTGTGCGTGCGAGAATCCTTCATGCGCGCCGTGCGTGAGTGTAGGGGCAACGGGTACGTGGTCGAGAGAGTGTTACTTGCCGGAGACATAAACGTGGAACACGGCTCGGCGGAATACGAACATATGATGCATTCGATCTTCCCTGGCGCGATCGATCTCATGAACTCACCTCTCAATGACGACGATAGCTTCCGCCTGACGTTTCCGGTCGCGCGTTGGCGACATTACATCCTCAAGTGCGGACGAGAGAGCAGGTACTTTGATTTGGAGCCTCGCGTGCGGATCGATTACGTCATGGACCTGACGCCGATGGGAGTGTCACAGGGAGTGCCACCGCGCCATAAACACGTCGATTCGGGCTACGTCAATCGCGCATTGTGTCGCGATGCGCGCGGCCGCGCGCTCTCGGATCATTTCCCGATCGTGGCGATGTCGAGCGTCTTCGGTTCGGGTACGGAAGATTACTCGCTATGACTGACGTTGAAACTACACGTGACTACGGCGTTGCGTCCTCCGGACGCTTGCCCTTTATTGCCGACGCCTGCAACTGCTTTTCCACACGATCACTGAACGGTGTCGTTCGCGTGGGAACCTCCTGATCCTCCCCGAATCCCTTTCGCCCCGCCGGCGTCGCGTGCTCGTGCCCGGATCTTACGCTCGCATCCTTCCCGTGCACCGACGTCTCACTCCTCGTCGACGGATCCACATCCTGCGCACTCGTCGCGAACAACGATCCCAACGACGCTCGACTCATCGCCGTGCTCATCGCGTCTCCCGTACCTCCCTCTTCACCGTGCTCATCCGCAATCGTCGGCGACGCGCTCGCCGGGTGCGTTCGCCTCGGCACGCGCGTCTGGTTCGCCGTCGTCTCCGTCAACCCCGCGACGTACCTCCGATCGAGCACGGCCCCGTTCGTGGTGTGCGTCGCCATCCTCTCACATCTCCCGTAGCCCTCCGCGTCGCCCCCCATCCCCCGTCGTCGTCGCTCCTCGCGCGACGTCTGCGTCGCCGCGTCTCTCGCCCGCCGCTCCTCCGCCAACATCACCGCGTGCGCGAGTCTCTCCGCCGTCTGTCTCGATCGAAGCTCCCCGGCCTCGCGTTCGATCGCGCGCACGATTCTCCGCGCCTCCGCGTCCGCGTTCGTCGACCCATCGCGCGCGCGTCGGTGTCGAGGCGGTCGAGCGCCGTCGATCGATTCTTGACGAATTACCCCGCGTGCGCTCGTCTCCGACGCGCACGCGCTCGTCTGCCGACTCAACGACGCCGGCGGAGAGGTCGTCGACGTCTTGGACGCGCACGCGCCCATGTCGACGCGCCGGACGCGCCGCGCACTGACCGCGGTGGAGACGTTGGCGTCACTCGTCGACGCGAGACATGTCTTTTTCGTGCTGCCGACGCGTCGCCAGCGTCGACGAGGACGCGGTGTCGACCGCGAACGACGCGAGGGATGTTCTCGCGCGAGCGTGCTTGGACGCCGTGCGCGAGGCGTTGATGCGAACGATGGAGATGGAACGCGCGATGCGAATTGGATTTCTGCGAGCGGTTCGCGCGCGACGGTTCAACGGCGAGCGCGTCGTCGATGGACGCACGGCGCGGGTGCGAGTGCGGATGCGAGACGGTCGATGGACGTTGGTTCGATGTGGGTCGAGCGCCGCGGGTGGGGGGGATTGGGGCGAGGCGAGAGGGGCGTTCGAGGACGCGCTCGAGCGGGCGGTGGAGGCGATCGACGCGAGACACGAGGCGTTGCGACGCGCGATGGAGGTCGCAAAGGGATGATTGGATGCTATCTTGCTCTACTCACAGGGGGTGTAAAACTATGTGGGGCTATGGGAGAGGTCTAGGTCGCGCGCGCTCACACTTTCTGCGCGGCGTCGTCGTATTTTTTGTCTGCGTTGGGTTTCGATCGAGAGCTCGCGCATCGATTGACGACGCCTCGAGCGAGAGACGAGACGATGCCGGCGATGAAGACGAAGACCATGAAACACACCAAGACGTATACTGGGAGATCTTGTCCGAACGCGCCCAAGATCATGTCCACGCCCACGGCGACGAGCGTCGCCGCGACGGCGTAGTTGAGATCGGGGAACACTTCAACCGTTCCTTGCAGCTGCGGATACAAAGCTCGCACGAGCAAAACCGCGCACAGATCACCGCAGATCACCGCCTCCAGACTCTTGTGTCCGACGACATAAATCGTAGACACGCCGTCGATGCAAAACATCAAATCGGAGACCTCGATGAAGATCATCACTAATACCAAGGGTGTGAAGTGAAACGTCCCGCTCTTTGTGCGCGAGTAAAACGCGCTCCCCTCGTACCTCGTCGACATCCGCTCCCCGAAACACGCCCGAACGCTTCGCACGATCCAATTAGAACTCAAATCCGAGTCCTCGTCCCCGTCGTCGGTGAAGTACGCGACGCACACCCCTTGATAAATGATAAAGGCGCCGATGAGCGTAAACGCCACGCGCATGTACACCCAAATCCCGTGAAAACTCATGAAGAGCGAAATCCTGACCGCGATCATGATCGGTAGGCCGGCGACTAAGATCCCAGGTCGACGACTCGGCGGCACCTTAAACGTGCCAAAAATTTGATGAAAAACCACCAAATTATCCAAACTCAACATCGTCTCCACCGCGGCGCTCCCGACGAATGCGCTCGCCACCTCCTTCTTCTCCGCGTTCGACTCCGCGAGCTCCCACAGCACCGTCAACGCGGCGCCGGAGATGATGACGAAGATGAAGATCTGGAAACTCGGCAGTCTGCTCACGACGTCGTTGTACGCGCCCAAACACCCTCGATCTCTGGCGCCCCAGACGCTAGTGCTAAAATCGTGAAAATGGTCGTCGTCGTCGTCGAGCAACGCCGTGCCCTCGACCGCGTGCGCCGTGCTCGCCTTATCGTGCGTGTCATCTCGCTTCGACATCGCGCGGTGCGATGCGACGGACGAGAAGTGACGATGGGGACGGTGAAGATGAAGGCGATGGTTCATGATGGTGTTGACGCCGTCGAGGCGAGAGGTGAAAAAACGGGACGGCGTCGGAGGGCTCGCGTGGGAATTTTGGGTGAGCTCAGACGGGCGGATTTAATGTGTAATGATGAAGGATGTGTTCTAACGCGAAAGTGGTGGCGTTGGCGAGGGCATCGATCGCGAAAGAGTCTCACGCGGCGGCGGCAGAGTGGTCTCGTCTGGAGTTTCGGCTTCGCGCGCCGAAAGTGATGGAACGCTTTTGGCCGGAGATGCGAGCGCGCATGGATTCCAGAGCGTCTCGTGGATTCGACTTGTGCGACAGAAACAAGACCTGGAGCGCGGCCATGCTTTTCGGCTGAGTGTCGACGTGCGCCGCAAGCTCGGCGAACTCAGCTCCCATGGATGGGACGTCCCCACCGAAGTCCGCAAAGAAGTGGTTGAAGTAGCTCTCGATCTGTTCTTTGCCAGGGGCGTCGAAACGAAGGATAACATCGAAACGTCCTGGTCGAATGAGCGTTTGGTTGAGCGCCGATTTGTCGCGGCATGACAAGAAGATGAGTCGACCGTCGACGGAGGTGACGCCATCGAGCAGGGAAAGCGTCGATTGCACGCTCAGATTTCCAGTGCTTTCTCCGGGCTGTAACTCTCTGAACACCGCGTTTGCGCCGGGCGCATCGACGTCGTCGAGTAAAATGATCGAGCGCTTCTCCGTGGTGCGAAATAATCTGTGCAAGCCCTCGTCACAAAGGCGTTCGTCGCTCAATCTTACGACGTAGAGAGGCAGGCCGAAGTGTCCTGCAAGAGCGAACACCAACGACGTCTTACCGGTTCCCGGCAAGCCGTGAAGGAGATACCCGCGTCTGTAAGGTAATCCGCGATCTACGTACCAACGCTCGGAATCGAGGAACTCGCGCACGTCGCGCTCGATCATGTCTCTCGCGCCGGTGGGTAAGACTACCGTGTCGAGTGGTCGAGACGGCTTCTCGCTCGGAACCCAGTGCTGCTCGCCTCTATACACTCTATGTCCACCTCCCTCGTGTCTACTCGACGGCGC